AGTCAGGTAACTCTGGTAAAATGGGATTTTATATTAAGCCTTTATTTATATATTTTATACTTCCTGCAAATACATTGCATAGAGCAGACTTAATAGGCATTTTTTTCAGTCAACCTTTGGGTGGCACAGAGCTATGTGTGTGGCAGGTGTATAATTAGAGCGTACCGCAGACGACTCAGGCGCTGAAGGCCGCCGAACGACCTCCGTCCTCCATTAGCGCAGGCCTGTGGGTGACAGATGAGGCCATCTGTCACCAGTTGTGCAGTTGTGCAACACCATGGTTGGGACTGTCATCTTCAGGAAACCAGATGGTCCAGGATCCGTTGAGGTCTAGGGATTTCCTTCCTAGGGTACACCTGATTTCGTGGCTACTGGTATTAACACTGGCATATTCAAACAAGGTCAAAAATAGGGTACTTTTAAATTTTAGTAAGACAAACATAAACGGTAAAAAAAAAGTCGGTGCATAAAAGAACGGACATATTAATGCAAGTTATTTCTTTGAAATGATTTGATGGGGTATGTACTGTAGAATATCAGTTATACTCGAACTCGAATGTATTCTTATGAAGATATATCAATGAATAATATTTAATAAATCTATTTAATGAAAAGTATTCACTGAAAGAAAATGCAATTTCAAGTAATCCTCCTCCATCATAAAAACAGTGGTGAAATAGACGGACCTATATTTATAACCTATACTATAATATAGAGTGGATGAAATAGTGGCAGGTAACAGGATCGATATTCACCAGACTCTTGTTAAACTAAAACGAGAAATTGATATAGGTCGGTCTGGATTTGAAAGTTGGCTGAAAAGGGGATCAAAAGAGTTTATTTTGCATGTAGCTGTAATGCGAATGTTGATATAATTTGGTGGTGTGAGATTTTAGGGTACTAAAACTCCTTCTCATGTAATTTTAAAATTAAAAATTAAAACAAGCTTTTTTATTAAAACGAAATAATGAACGCTATTTTAGTACAGTTAATTGGGTAACACATGTTCGAAAACGAACAAAAATGTATGATTCTCATAAAATAAGAGTACTGGGCAGTTGATGCAAATTAAGTTTGTAATTTTCCTTTAACATATTTATTGTATTTAATTCTTAATCGACTTCAAAAAAGGAGGTTCTTATGTGTTACATAAAATTAATATTATGTTGTTTACTTAATAATTTTGCGCCTTTTTCTGGTTTGATTTCAGTGTTCAGAGCACCATAAAAAGTAAATTTCGACCTTGGTTGTAAACATAATGATTTTCTTTTTTAATGAGTGAGCAAACAGATTTCATACTTGTCTTTACGGGATTCGAATTATATTTTAGTTAACTAACTGTTTATAGGTTTTTATTGGAACTATTGTCACAGTTAAACGTTACGGCGAGTCCAAGGTACATACATTCTTCTCTAACTTAAAAAAAAATTACTAAATATTCGCTTAGTAGGCTCCAAAAGCTCATTCACTTTTTATTGTTTTTATCCACAATATTGAATGATATATTTAGATGTTGTTTCATTTACTAGATTTAAAAAGCAGAAGAAAAATAGAAGATAAAATTTCTAGGTCATCATCGATCTTATGATTTAACATCTCCGATCGGCTCGATCCCTTGGCGTTACGTAGAGATGGGGGCTTCACTCTGCATTCTCTATCACATATATCATGAAGAGTGCTGCGAGGATTTTTTCTTACTAATACCAGACGCAACTTTCCGCCATTGTTCCACTCGGCAAAATTTTCATCTTCATCACTTAGAAAGTAGGCGCTCCACTACTGTGGGCTTTTCGAGACACTTTTGCCCCGCACAACCAATTTGTGGAACGGGTTATCGTCTGCGGTATTTCCGGACCGATATGACCTTCAAGAAAAGAGTACTCCTTCCTAAAAGGTCGCCTGGTTTGTGATGCCTGATTTGTAGACGTTCATGGGCGGCGATTGTCACTTTCCATCAGGTGACCCGTCTGCTCTTCTGCCCCCTCTAACATAAAAAAAATACAGGTCTAGATCTCTTCTCTTTTTTTATCCTAGGTCTTAGGTTAAAAGCCATTTCCAGAATTAGTTTTATCTTATACATTGTATAAAAAACGATGCCGCTATGTATTTTTTCTTTGGCATATGATATATTTCTTAACTTAAAATATATATCGCTAATTTGACTTCGAAGTTCTACTTTCTTATGTTGATAGTATGTTCTGCAGCATTCACAGCTCCTGTCTATTCCCGGATGTTCTAATTTAATATAGTATGTCTAGTTTAATACACCGAAAAAAAAATCATTTTATTCTGCCTAATTTGTTTCTTTATTAAAATTAAAGTTTTAATCTACGTCTCCTATAGAAAAGTAATGACCCCGTCTAACAAATTAGGTCAAGTCTTTAAAGTAATGAAGGCAAGAGGTTTGTTCGTCTATCTTAATAGCAGTCAAAGTCAAACAGTAAAGATGAACTTTTTCTTAAATATGAGATTTAATTTAATCTAATTATGCCGCAGCCCTACAAGAATTATAAGTATATTGAAATGGTGGGATTTCTTAATAAACTTTCAATGAAAAAGTGAACGATGATCTGTGCAAAACGATAAAGTCTTGCTTTAGTGAAATCATTTTTAAATAGATCTTTAAATACCTTTCTTACTTCGGTTATGAGAATAATTAAATATCTGAAGCAAGACTTTATCCACTGCTGTATGAATGCTTTTTAATGTTAATTAAAAAACCTACACATAATAATACTTTGTTTTTGATGACGGATGACGGTTTTTTTCGTTTGTAAAACTTCTAATACTCAAACACTTAACTCCCTATCTCTCCCAATAATCTTCTTAAGTTTAAATATTTAATAGTGTATTCAGCTTAGCAAATCGGGCAGAATAAATTTGCCGTTTATTTTACCTTTTTTAATTTTGCATCAGTAACAATTTCATTGTAAGTATTTATATTCTTGTTTTATGTGTAATCATGTACCAACCCGTCTTTAGTATAGCCGGCCAAAATCGCCTGTCTAAGAAGAGGCCAATGTTCAGCAGTGGACTGCTAAAGGCTGTTGTGGATGATTATGTGTAATCCTAGCCAGAAATATAAAAAAAAAAACAAAAGTAGGTACTACGTAACACTTAATATATCTAATTTTATCACCAAAGCTCATATGATTTGTTTTCAACACACATGATAAAAGCTTGTACCGTAGCTGCTGAAATGAGTTTGTCAGTGTAATTTTTATGTGTTGTGATGCCTTATAATAACTTGTTTATTTCTTGTGCGATACGTACACAAATCATACTGAGATGTTGTAATTTTATTTACTAAGGCTTTTTGTGAGGTTGAAATAGTATTCTTTTAACACAAAGGCACTTTTAGAAAATTGCCATATTATGAGCTGGTTCTTTCTTAGCTGACTTTCCATCTTATACATTGATATCACATGACAAAATTTATATTTAGCGGAAATTGAACAGGGACGTGCGCTTCGATATATGGTAAGTATTTGGAACATGAAGTTAAATTTGTCTTAAAATAAACGGACAATAATAATTTTTAATAAATAATTCCCGAGATGGACGACCTGTCACACGTTTCAGCAAATATTCAATATTATTTGAGACGTGAGTCAATGACATCTACTCGATAGAATGTATCTAGTCCCTTTGTGGTATTACCTATAATATTAAGAGTGTCACCTATATATACCTATAAATCAAATACTTACCTGTTTTAAATCAAATTTTGTAACGATTTTTTACGTTTTTTGTACCTTAACCTTGCGTTTTCGAAGTGGGTTTCGATTTTTTACAGTTCGGGACGTTTGTTTAATCAGTAATCAGTATAGCAGTATGTTTTAATTTTTCTATTCTTTTTCATTATTATTTAAATTTATTCATTTTTTATTAAAACCAAATTTAATTCAAATTTTGTTACTTCCGTTATTATAATTTTGGAAGTACATTGAGTGATGAGTAGACTTAAATATACGTGATTTACTCGTACATGCTACATGACAATATCTTATCTTAATTTACGGCTAACAATTTTAAAACTTAATATAAACAGTGTGTGTTTATCGACTTTAAGCAAAATATTGAATATTATTAACATAAGCATTAAATCTAGTGTTTTTTTTATGAACACGATTTTTACAAACTTTATATTGCTATATGCAATCATATTTCAAATACAACTTATGATAAAAGTATGTGCAGAGTTTCGAAGTTTTTCTATCCAACAAAGTGTTAAACGTCTGCGACTCAATTCTGCTATTTTATGTTTACGCCAAGCCACTTATTGCCACATCGATGCCATTTATTTATTTTAATAATTTATTATAATAAAATAAATGAATCATTTCCTCAAAAAACGTAATATATTTTCAACTACCGATATTTATACCGATGCCAATGGCCACTCGATGGCATCTCAATAGCGTGTCAGTGGTATGACACTGGCTATGCGTGAACATAAAATAGCAGAATTGAGGCCCAGATATGTTTCAATCTCATTCAAATCTTATTTCTATTATTGGAAGGTCGTTTCTATATAAATACGAGTCCTGTTTGGATTTAATCACATTTCAGTTGACATAAGTTAAGCAGATGTGTGTGTGGAGCGGGATACGAATTAAGTGACACTTGAAAATCTAATTTTGTTGGTGGAATGCATCTTATTATCACACACATCACAGTAGTATAAAGGTATGACTATGAAAAGTCTTGTGGAAACGTGTTGAGCTACTAAACAGTCCGCCCTTTGAAGTAGCAATTCGTAGCCTAACGCCGTTTATAAAATGTAGGCTGTTGAACTAGAAATAAAGGGAGAAATACAATAAACTGTAACCGTTATTCAAGTAAAATATTGATTTAATCATTTTGAAGTAGAACTCCATTAACGGAAAATGTAACCCTTGTTTCAGGTTACAACTTGAGTGCAAACAGAAGATACGCTTTTGGAAGATGACCTTGAGGTTTTAACAAACTCCGAATATTGATGACAAATAGTCTTCAAGATGGCAAACAAGTCACGAACATTAATGGAGATATTCCAGGAGATTTATGCTGCCTCTGGAAATACTTCGGGTAGCAGCATCAATGAAACTCAAATCGTATCAGTTTTACGTGAACAGGCGATGAAAGGTGAAAGGCATGAAGATGAAATTGGAGATCTCTTGGTGAAAATGATGAAAGATGCCAACCTGCCGCTAAAGCCCGACACCTGTGGCTATTGTGAGGGTAACTTTCGAGATGTCATCATGGCTTATAACAGTCTTCATGGATACGTAAGCTTACTGGTAAGTACTTATTACTATCACCTCCACTTTTTTGTGCAGCACATTCTTGTTTTATTCTTCATTTTCAATATCTATTTTTATACAACTAGTGTGACCCACCTGGCTTGTGCTAGACTTGCTAGGAATTGCCTGTCAAGATTGTGAGATGTCTTTTCGTATCCGGCTATCACTGTTCCCCTTTTTTGTTGGCATAAAAGTTCAAGAAACAGCTAGTAACCATTTCTATAATGTTGTTTTTTTTACAAAAAAAAATATTTTTCTATGTTTTTAGTGCAAATATCTACGATTTCGAACCCTTGGTAATAGAGTATCATAACAAATTATTCACTTATTAACAAACTTATCGAATTGATGAGAATTAAAACAATTTGTAAAATGTAGGTTACGTTCTAGCAAAACAAAGTCCGCGATCTAGACTTTGCTAATAATGAGCTTAGGTATCATGTCACCATGACAGGCCTTTTAGTATCGACACGCAAGATATAATAATTCAACAATCTCACACAATAAGAACATTTTGGTATATCCTAAATACTATATTTTAGTTATATGACCTTCGCGAAGATGGTCTTGCTTCCTAGCATAGGCCTTCCCTAAAGGAGATTAATTGGGCTTAGCAAATAATTCAAGTTAAGCGGTTTCTTAGGTAGTTAGAATTCTATAATAGTGGTAAGCTTGTTAATTGTAGTTTGTTTTTTTTGTTCACATAACATAAATTGAAGAAATATAACAACACTAAACAAACTACAATTATTGTTGAATGTAGTTTGTTTGATTGTTTATTGTTCAATAGATAGATGTTCTTCTGTTTTTTAATTTCATGTAGTGTTACTCTAGTATGCATTATGTGACGTAATTTTAGTTAATGATGTAAAAATTACTGGCTGTCCAATAAATATATAAATAAAGCTTGCCATAAAATGCGATCTGTGTCTTCCTTCTCCATGTATGTTATGCCTACTACGCTGCCTTCCTTTCTTTCTCTTGCATTGCCTTGGATATCGACACATAGATATTAGCTTCTAAATAAAACAACTCGTGCATTTATTATTGGCTTTAGATGAGTACCTGAATCGAAATTCAAAAGAAACCGCCATCCTAGCAATTTACAACGTTAAGAGCTAATTGGGGCGTTCATAAGATAACGTGCCATTTTTTAGTGTTAAATGTTAGTAGGTATGAGTAAGATTCGAAGTAGCGAACTACGATGTACTTAATTACAAATTTTTGCTTTCAAAGTTTTCTTCGATGACAAACGTTTAGAGAAATGCTATTACATTAGATGGCTATAGTTTTTTTCAGCCAATTGCAGAACGTGATTGAGAAGTGAACGATATTTTGTTATTAGTTACAAGAATTGAATGTTAGATTCTTTCGCTTGTTAAAATTCGTTTGTTTTAATATTGGAATGAAAAAACAATGGCTTTATAGATTTCACAAAAATATAGATATGAATAAAAAATAAATGAAAATAATAATAAAATTAAGCTTAAAATAAGGGTATACTTAGTAACTTGTAAATCAATGGCAGTAAAATCCACCAAAGAATAAATCCGTAATCCGTGAGAGGCCTTAATTTAAATAACTAATGTGTTAAGAGTGCCGTGTGGCATTAACAGATCTACTCCAGTACAAACCATATAAAAAAGCCATAACTTACGTAGATTACTACAAAAACTTTAAGACACGAAAAAAGTAAACAATACGTACTTACAATTTACATTATATTTTTTGAAAATACTCTCTGTCACTCTATACAAAAATCCATCCGCCTAAACCAGTCTTGGAAACACGTATTCAGTTTTTGGCACTTGAAAACTTGCCTATAATCTTATCTTCTATGGCGGGGAATAAAAAGAAGTCGCAAAGAGCTAAATCGGGACTGTAAGGTAGGTGAGGTAGGGTGTCAATACCCGATTCTTGAATAAACGCCTTTATTCTGAGGGCAAGACTGTGAAGACGCATTGACGTGATGGTGCATCATGCCCCGGAACTCGGTTTTTGGTCATCTCTCCTGCACAGCTTTGAAAACTTTTGGTAATGCGACTGTTAACAGACCTACAATGCTAATAACCTTGTAAGATGTCCACTCCGTGAAAAAAAACTAGCTACCATGTTTTCTGGCAATGTCTTAACAATTTTTTCAAAGCTAGTTTTCCCTTTTTTAAATTTGGTAAACCATCTAAAAATATTTTCCCGAGAACACTCATCTAAAGCTGATTTTATACGTTCTAAGCTTAAACCTTCAGATAAACCACATTTAAAGTCGTAATATATCATAGCACACAATTGTTCACGTTTAAGGTCCATTTTAGTAGAAAACAAGCGGAAAAGATGACACTGGAAATGGCTTTTTGTGTTCGATTTTCAAATAAATTTGGCTTTTAATAATAGTTGACACAGATGCGTTTGCGCAGTATATTGATTTATCTTCGTATCTAAAAAAAATAAAGTAGATTATAGTTTGATTGTGCAATCTTTTTTAAATCATTGTTTTTTTTTTAATAATTTTAGGTGTAATTATTTTTAATTTTGTTGAACACATTTCTGGGCCACAGGAGGGTGTTGGATAGCCTGAATTAATGCGTGCAGGCAAATGAGCGTATTTGCATTGTACGTCAATAAGTATTACTAGGTTAAGACAGTCTGTGACTCTGTACTTCATATTCTATTTCATAACAGCTGTTCCCGAATCCCGTCTTCGGACTTTAGGTGCAGAACCAACAAACCACCGGGTGGTTTTCGTCGGTTCGATTCGTACACAACGGACCGCCGCAAACCCCGGTGGGGTGACGGCCTGAGGAGGTTGCCAAAAAAAAGTTTGTGACTATGATTTGATGCATAAGGGCCGATCTCAAATGAAATCACTTCAGATATCCCTTTCTTGAGTATACTGTGCACTGACACTGCATGACAAAGAAGATTGTCCAACAACCGATACTTGATTGTTGCTAATTTGTTCGTCACTGTTGCTAATTTGTTGCGAGGAGCATTGTAGTGACAGAAGCTAAAGTAAAAAGTTATGAAGAAGATCTCGTAACTTTTTGCAAAAAAATTGCCATTAAGAGACATGTTGATAAAAATATAAGACGACTTTTTGTCAAATAAGACAAATAAGAGAACTAAATTAATTCTTTTATTCAACAGAAAATTTAAATCTTTTGTTTAATGTTTGTATGCGGAAAGTTGGAAATTTGCCATATCGCTCAATTGAACTTTTGAGATAAACCCAGAGAGATTTATTCTAAATTATTATTAATATAGTTTGGCACCTGGTTGATGTTTTTAATTTGGTTAAAAAATACCAGCTACCAAAAGATGACTGTTCCATAATCTTGAATCGATAATGATCTGCAAATTAGGTTTCTTCATACGACATTCAAGAATAAATGTAGACAGTATACGTTTATAATTTACATTGAATTAATACTTTATATAGTACCTGCAATTACATTAAACAAAGATGACCAAGCTCTAATGCCGTACGCATTTTTTAATATTAAAAGTTTCGCTGGTGAAAAAATTGGATTACATCCGACCGTCCCTCTAATGTAACTACGGGACCGATGTTCTCATACCAAATATGTCACCGCTATTTATCTTTTATTTCAGCTGTTGCACAAACTGTTCAAATAATAATAATCGTAATGTACCAAACGGTAATGAAAACTTCATGAAGGCCTTGCTTATTCAACATTAAATAAAATATACGACAAGGACACATCATAGGTAAATCACTTATAAAATAGAGGCTAAAATTTATATTATTACAAAAAATAGAAGTTACATGGTAAAACTACGCAGGACAACAGCACTGCAGAGAGAAGGAAAACTTGACACAAACCTTATACCAACCCGTCTGGCCAGCGTGGTATAATAGGCCAAAACCTCCTTTCTCAGGAGAGGCTTATGTCCAGCAGTGGACTATTAAAGGCTGTTGATGATGATGACATGGTAAAAGATACGAAGAATTGTATTTTATACACAACTGAGGATTAAATAAGTCTTATCTGCATAGTGGATTTGATCTGTAATGTTTTTTGGAGATTTTATTCTTTGTTTGGTTTCTGTTCTTTCAGTAAGTATTTTTTTTTGTTTTTAAATATGTAACTATTACACTTTATATGTATATAATAAGGTTATTCAAAAAAAATGTGTACGTTTTGTATAAAATCCGAGTAGGTATTATACAAAGACAAAACACACGGTCTGGCTCATTATGGAACCAAATCGCCTATATTAGTACAGATACGCATTTTTGCTAAGTATTCTGTAAATAATGTTAATATTAAGTACTTATACTTGACAATTAGGTTCAGTTTTCTATTTTATTTACGGTGTTACTTGAACGAAGTTAATCTTGTGATGTGATAAAAGTGAATGGCTTTTGCGTTAACTTTGAGCAAATTATTAACCGCATTCCCAAATCGCAGCCTACCTTACCTCTAAACCAAAGTACCTCACTGTACTAAACCTATTTAAAGCCTGCAAATTTACGTAAACAAGTCTGTTTTTAAAAAACAAAATCAGCAGTAAGGATTGACTCTGATATTTTTAGATGAAAAGGTTTATTTTTAACTCAACATTGTGTTTGTGAATCACAATCAAATCAGTAAAAAGGAAAGGAATGGAAGTAACAATCACTTGTTTTTTTATATGTCAGTCTTCAAAGAACGGTTTTTTAACCCACATCAAAAAAGGAAGTGCTCATTTTGGCTGTATTTTTAAGTTGGTTACCTCTGTAATTTATGACTGGAAACCCCCTTGGGCCCTCACCCTACTGGGGTTTGCAGTAAAACGGTACGTCGGAATCGAACCGACTAAAACCGCACAGCGTGCCACTCTGCGCCTTAAATAGGGGGGAATCGGAAAAAGCTTTTATTAAGACATAGGAACTCCTCCTAGTGCCTGACTACAAGCGGGCACCACCTCCGAATAAATTTCTTATTTAGGTGACATCCATGCTCATGCTATTCCAGACATCAACTCCTGGCTGGCTATTATTTCAGGTAGAAAGGAAAACACGTCCGGTCCACCCACAGCGACCTTAAACTTCCAAACTAATCTATCAGTTCGTTTATTTAAAAATATATTGGGCATTTTATGTTTTAATATATTTTCGTTAGATCCCAGTTTTAGATTTTTTAATTTGGGATTCAACGCTTAAAATATTATACTGTGATTCAAAACTGGGAGCCAACAAAATAATTCATTTTTTCATAGAATTATGGAATAAATCTACTAATTAGATGACAGATCTATCATTTAGATGATTGAACGAATTACATGATACATATAAATTGTTCATTTGATTTC